CCCTAATTAGGAAAAGCTTTCAAGAAAGATCCGAGTCAGCTGCGTGGACGCAGGGAAATACCACAGGTGTGAGTTTCACAGTTAACCACTAGAAGAAACATGGTTACAGGTAAGCAACCTTACTTTCTGAAATAGCTCCCAAATAACCCCAGGATCAGGCCTAAAAACAAACACATCCAAGATTTTTTTTGGAAGGGGGAGTTGGTATGTACTTCGTATGTCTTCCTCTCTGCTTATCTTCAGAAATATATTTTAAAGTTTTGGGGTTTTTGTTTTTTAATCTCCTATGTCAGAACAATTAAACACCAGTAAATTAGCCTCATTGTTGATCAAATTCACCAGTTGATGCATTTATGTATCTGTGTGCCTTCAGGTTGCCTGTCGACTTATGGCAACCTCATGAATTTTATAGGGTTTTCTTAGCAAAAGAATAGTTGGAGGTGTTTTTGCCAGCTCCTTCTTTTGAAATATAACACCTTGTATTTGTTGGCTGTATCCTATCCAAGTAGTAATCTACCTAGCTTCCAAGATCAGATATGATCTGGTGCCTTTGAGTTATTTAATTTTATATTTATATATGAATATCACAGATAAGGAATCCAGTTGTGGAATGAAAGAGCAAATGCTACAACTATGAATCCAGTGTTCTTTAAAGTAGAATGTGTTTGTACTCAAACATTTCTCCATCATACAAGTCTTGTAGAAATATACATGACTACCATCCTATTAATTTTTCCGCATTTCATTGTGTTACAGCTTGGAATTTTCATGGATTTAATAGCTCTTGATACAGGCAGTCCCTGAGTTACAAATATCCAACTTACAAACAACTCATAGTTACAAATGGGGGTGAGATAACAGGAAGTGAGAGAAATCTACCACTAGGGAGAGAAATTCACTCCTGTAAGATTTATCACGGGGAAAAAGGTGTCTTAATGGACGCTTTATCACCAATCCTTGTTTCCATAACATGCCAAATTTTTCAAATTCAAATTATCACAGGGAGAGAAAGTGAGGTGAATTCTTCTGAACATGGGCACAGATAGCAAAACAAACACCACAGGAGTGTTAACCCTTCCTTGTGAGATGTATGTATGTTTTTATGTATATTTGGTTGGAGTTACAGTTAAAAATGTACCTGTTTCAACTTATAAACAAATTCAGTATAAGAACAAACCTGCAGACCCTATCCTGTTTGTAACTTGGGGATTGCCTGTACTCAATGCTGTGAAGTTGTACAGTATTGTCACTTGTGGTACAAAACCAGACTAGTATTAGTAAAAGTGCCAACTAAGTCCACTTCAATATCAAATTACAAAAAAAAATGTGAAACATGCAATGGGAATAGTGGTAACAAATGCTTTTTTGCAAAGCATTTTCTCTGGATTCTGTGGTGGTTTTTCTCATTGCTGATCTAGGCTGTTCATCCAGGTTTCCTGCAACTGTACCCGAGTGTGAAGACAAGGGAGCTAAAGTTGGGTGTAATCTACATATTGTGGGCATCCATATCAAAACTTGAAATGATCATATTGAAGCTACTTCAAAATTAATGCAATTCAATTCTACACCATTGAATGAATGCTGTTTGACTGTAAAATCAATATACTTAAGACAGCCATGCTGAGCTAACTATGGGAGTTGAAATTTGGCAAGGTCTTTAGCCTTCTCTGCCAAAGAGTGCTGGTGCTTCACCAAACTACAACTCCCAAGATGCCATAGCATTGAGCTATGGCAGTTAAAGTGTTGTCAAACTGATGTAATTCTGCAATGTAGATGCACCCTTGACAATTTTCTTCAAGTTTTTTTTCTGTGTCAGGAATGACTTGAGAAACTGCAAGTTGCTTCTGGTGTGAGAGAATTAGTCATCTACAAGGACGTTTCCCAGGGGATGCCTGAATGTTTGATGTTTTTACTATTCTTGTGGGAAGCTTGTCACATGTCCCCACATGGGGAGCTGGGGCTGACAGAGGGAGCTCAACCCGCTTTCCCTGGAGTCGAACCACTGACCTGTTTGTCAGAAGTCCTGCCAGCACAAGCATTTATAACCCATTACGTCACAGGGGGCTCCTGTTTTCTTCATGTTTCATGTAGCTATCTCTTCTTCGTCATGACCTTGGTATTTTAATATTGAGATAAATGTTTTTAATGTTTATGTATGCGTATATGAATTTGTGTCCCGGCATTGAATGTTTGCCATATATATGCTGTGCTCCGCCCTGAGTCCCTTTTGGGGTGAGAAGGGCGGAATATAAATGTTTTAAATAAATAAAATAAATAAATAGCTCACTTTATAGTGTGTGTTTATATGACTATATTGTACTCCATCCAGAGATCTTTGATTCCTGACCATTCTAAAATGATCAATCAATCAATCCTGTCTCCTCTGCAGATTCTTCCTACTCAGAGCCTCCAGATGTCCAGCAGCAATTGAACCACTACCAGTTAGCAGCCCTGGCAAGGAACAACAATAACATTAGCCCTGTCCCGGACCAGAAAGACGAACCCGTCCTTAATTGTGAATTTTGTGAATTCTCTTCGGGTTATATTCAGAGCATTCGGCGCCATTACCGTGACAAACATGGTGGGAAGAAGCTGTTCAAGTGCAAAGATTGTTCCTTTTATACTGGCTTTAAGTAAGTACTTGCAGAAGCGTTGGACACATCCTTTTCACTTTTGTAAAACCTCAGTGAATTTCTATAGTCAGGCGAAAATATGAATCAGAATGTTCTTGTTACATTTAATGACCTACTCAACTGTCTTATCACCTAGTAACTTATTGGTAGGATGTTTTGTGAAATGGATGTCACCATAGTTGTGCTGCACAATTAACATCTCGCACATTCTTGTCACATTATAAATAATTCTTCTTTTGTGGTTTGTAGCATAATCCTACATCAGAAAAAGGGAGTCTTTTGTGTTCAGTGGGAGATTCTGTAAACTAAGTGCATAAAGCAGAAGTGGAGAAGATGTGGCCCCAGGTTGCATGCAGCCTCTGAAACCCTCAAACTATTTTCTCCCCTCTATTATTTTTACTAGTTTGATATTCAGGCAAAAAACTCACAAAATGTGTATCCAAAACCCAACTGTAAGTTGCTTCTGGTGTGAGAGAATTAGCCGTCTGCAAGGACGTTTCCCAAAAAATACTATCTCCCCAGTCCCTTTCAGAATTTCCCATATTTCTTTTTGCATCTGAAATATTTTTACATCAGAAGCATTCTGACGGTATCACTCTGAAGGTTGTTAGAGCCACAATTTTTTCAGGAGGTTCTAAGATTCGGCCCATAAGCAGCATGGTGATCTCTTAAAGGGAGCTGTTAGGTGAACTGGCGGTTCCATTTTTTAAAGTAATGTAATTTACAGTTATTGGAATTGCAGAGTTACTATGGGAGCTTCTCATTGAGTCCCTACAGCTCAACCTAGTATATGTCACTGGCCCAAGAGGCAAAGTACATACATACGTATTTCACCCAGTTGGGGAGCATAGATGTGTTCTCCCAAATAAAAACCAAAGGGTAGGTTTGTTCATCATTCCTTTTCCAAAATAGCTAACCAGATGGCTTTGATTAAGCAATCCACCAGTAATTTTCCTGTCCCTACTTTTCAGTTCAGCACTTTATACCGGCCCTCTTATGGTCTACCTCAACATGTTTTGACAGTATTTCCAGCCCTGCCTACTTGATTACTGCACTTTCCTTGCGCTCCTGTCGGAATGTATTGCACTCATTGAGTCTGTACCTCAGCTATGTTATTTTCTCAGCCATATTTTTATGCTGTTTACAAGTGTTGTTTGTATTTTATTTTTATCTGATATTTTTAATCGATTTAATTGTTTTATTTGTGTGTTTTACTTGTAATTTTGGGCTCGTTCCTTGTAAGCCGCCTCGAGTCCCTTAGGGAAGATGGTTGGCAGGGTATAAAAATAAAGTAGTAGTAGTAGTAGTAGTTATCATCATCATCATCATCATCATCATCATCATCATCATGGCTTTGTTCAGCTCTCAAAAAGGGCACTCTCCTGCTCCTGTTCCTTGGAAAATGGCATTCAGAGGCATAATGACACCAGTAGCGGGGTAATATATGTATACGTAACTTATATCCCTTTTTAGAAGTCCTTGAATTTGTCTAATCTGTTAATTTGAATTGAAAAATTGCATCAATTGAGTAATATGCTGGACTAACGGAATGATTTAGGAAAGAGAGTCCTTTGTTTGGTTTGTTTTGAGGGTTTTTAAAAGTTTATTTGCGAAGTTTTGCATTGGCTTTCCTTTCTGTTCCCAGTATGTCCCTAAATTTCATGCCTAGAAACCTGATTAGTTTTGGTTTTGCTTTAGCTCATGCTGGGACTGGTTCAAATGTCACATTGATGTACCTCCAAATTCACACTTTAGCATTGGTTGTGAAATTCATGGGGTTGCCATATGTTGAAGGAAAACTTGAAAGTACGTAAATACATGCACATTGGTTAGAAAAACTCCTGGCTTGGCTTATTCAAAATCAGTTCACTGATACCGATCGAAACTTTTACAACCATTAAAGAGTGTATATTAGAAGGGAGACCGCATGTGATACTACAGCTCACTTCCAATCATTTAGCCACAATTAAGAGTTCAAGTGAGAACCATTGTGGTGAACCAGAGTTGAAGTTGGACTGCAACTCTGGAGACCAGGATTTGAATCCCCACTCAGCCATGGGGAACCGCTTGATGACCTTGGGCAAGTCATACTCTCCGCCTTAGAAAAACGCAGAAAAACTGAAGAAATCTTGTAATAGGATTGTCGGAAACAGCTTGAAAGCATATTAGAGTTCAAGTATGCTGAATTGGCCATGGAAAATGCTTAAAGACATTGTTTCTTGTTGCCTGTTGTGGCAAATTTTGCTGTCTTAAAGAGTGGTATTCATGGAATCATAGAGTTGGAAAAGACCATATGGGCCATCCAGTCCAATGCTCTGCCATGCTGCTGAAAAGAAATCAGCATTAACCAAAGATTGTGATCTTCTTCTGAGTTTGTCTACTTCTCCTTGTTATTTGTAGATCTGCTTTTACTATGCATGTGGAAGCTGGACATTCAGCAGTTCTTGAGGAAGGACCCAAAGACCTCCGCTGTCCTCTCTGCCTGTACCACACCAAATATAAACGGAACATGATTGACCATATTGTCCTTCATCGAGGTAAACAAACACCACCAGAATGTATCAATGGCTAAACTGGGTTTGCACTGACAATTCTTGTGGCTCATTTGAAAAACAGGTACTGCAGGAAAGTGTATAACCATAATGGCATCTATCCTAGATTGTTTTTTCGGGTATCTTGTTAGACATGTGCAAATTTTAAATGGAAAGATGTAAGGACATGGACTGTCTTCAGAACCTTATTTTATATGACATTTCAATTTAAGATAGAACACCTGCTATAATGGACTTTATGTGAGTGTTGTTTTGTGATATGCAAGTTGAGCATCACATAGTTCAGAATTTTTCATATTGGTGGTGGCTGAGATAGTGACAGCTTTGCTTTCTGATGGTTCAATACGCACATAGTTTAGGTCATGCACAAAATAATGTGCATGAATTGCTTTCAGGCTATTTGTATAAGTATATATAAAACATAAATTAGTATTGTGTTTGGGCTTTGGTTCTGTGTTTCAAAATATCGCATTATGTCTGCGTATGCAAATGCAAGTACTCCCAAATCGGAAAATAACCCAAATTCCCAAACACTTCTGGTCCCAAGCATTTTGGATAAGGGATATTCAACTTGTAATATCTCAGACTCACCCCTATGCCATATTGCTTTGGATGTCTAGCATCGGGCTGTAGCTGTGGCCTTTCATACTTTACTATTAAAGCATTACTACTCCACCTCAGCTGCCATGGCAACATCCTGTAGAGTTCAGGAGTTGATGATTTGGTGAGAATTCCTCACCAGAAAGCTCCATGAGTCCCTTCCAAACCCATAGAATGCAATCATCGTAGATAAAGTAGGATCATAACTCTGCGATTGAGAAGTGTGAAAGGGCCTTGTCTTTCTAGCACGAAGCTACGGTCTCTTAGCACTTTCTGGGGACTCCCACCAGCCTCCTAACCTAAGGAAACTGAAGGAAGAATTTCAGATTGTGTTGGCTGCAGAATTACATGCTTTGAAGAGACAGCTGTTTGGTCTCTTCAAGGCTGGGAATTGTGCCCATAGTTATCACACTTGATACGTAGAAATGGTCGGTTGGCTATTGCAATCCATACCCATGTGTCGGGGTGGCATTCTGCCTGATGACAGCCTGAGCAGCATTCCCTCATCGGGGAAGTAGTGTTGAGGTAATGAGGGGTGCATGCGCCATCTCTTTCCCCGAGGACATCTTTCCGTTTTCTTTTTTATGTTGCAGCATAGACAGGATGGCCTGCCTCTTCTTCATGAGCTTCTGTTGCTTTTGAGTACCTAAGTAGGGCACATGAGAAGACTGTAGAGCTCACAGCCAGGGCGCAGGAAAGAAATTCAATGACTTTCACAGATGTCCCTTTTTAAAAAATAAAAATAAAAAAGTGGAAAGAGAGAGATCTCTCTGGGATTCAAAATGCATGTAACAGAGCCACCTTTCGCGAAAGCAATAGCTAAGCAAACAATGGCTTCCAGTGTTGAGCTTAAACACAGAGGGAGTTACTAGCGCCAGACTGCCAGATCCTGTTGACCTCCAGGGCATGCTAGAAGGTTTATCTGTTTACAAGGCTTTTTAAGATGGCAGAGGGGGAGGCAGAAGTACTAGAACCAGTATTGGGTTTTTTGTTTTATACCTTTCTGGAGTATTTAAGTGGATCAGGGAGCTTCTGTTTATTTTTTGACATATTTTTGTGGTGTTTGAATTGTGCTGTTGAAGAAATTTAGATAAGGTTGGAATACTGCTAAAAAGTATGGATGAAAGTGAAACACACACACACACAATAAATATGTGGTGACTTTTTCTGAAAGTGAATTTACAGGGATTTAGCCAATCAACTGTGATTATCTCTGAAATAAAAGCACCAAAATGATTGTAGAGCCTACTGAAATTTAGTCTGTTTGTCAACTCAAAGTTTATGTTATTTCTTGCATCTTTGGTAGGCCGGTGCAATGTTTCCTGGGGATGCGGGGATGGACGCTTTACCTTATTTGTGGAATTACTTGAGCCAGATTGCCTTGTTAATGCCATGCATTTCTATAGCAGAACACAAAAGTTAAAACCATTTTTTGTGTATGTGTCAGGAGCAACTTGAGAAACTACAAGTCGTTTCTGGTGTGAGAGAATTGGCCGCCTGCAAGGACGTTGCCCAGGGGACACCCAAATGTTTTGATATTATACCATCCTTGGTGAAGCCATCCTTTGTGGGAGGCTTCTCTCATGTCCCCACATGGGGAAATGGAGCTGACAGAGGGAGCTCATCTGCACTTTCCCCGGATTCGAACCTGCGACCTGTCGGTCTTCAGTCCTGCTGGCACAAGAGTTTAACCCATTGCGCCACCGGAGGCTCCCAGTTAGAACCATAAAGTGTAAGAATGCAGTTGATTATAACATAAAAACCTACAGAGTTGTAAAACAGCAACTGATTCTATCAAAGTAAATATAAGGATAATGATGGAAAACATCTCAATAGGGTTTTAAAACTGAAATATTAAAAATCCTCAGAGAACAGCTAATCAATGCATTCATAATGTGAGCACCAAGCAAGCTTTTGTAAGTAGAGCCCATCAACAAAGCTTGGATGCCACTAACTGAGAAGGCTCTCAATTTCTTTTGGTTGCCTACTGCTAAAGCAGCTAGAGTTTTGTCAAGTTGCCTGAACCTTGTAGAGCTTGGACGCTATCCAGTCTAGAAGTTCTTAGTGAAGGTACCCTTCCGTGTAAATCTTCATGTTAACAGAACATGGGATGAAAGCAGAAATAAGCTGTTCAAAATCTATTTTCATAGATCCTACAAAATTGCATCCCCAGTTGATCCAAAGAGCAGAAATTCAAAATAGTGATTAGAAGCCTTCAAACCTATCTCCAAATGTAATGCAGTGGATGAAAAGCTTCTACATACAAAATGCCTCAAAAGGCAACTATCAATTTGCACATTTTCTAAGCTAGTTTATGGTCCTCACTAGCTTTCTGTAGAACTATTCTCTTTTGTTGCTCTGTCCCATTACCACCTACCCCCAGCCATGTCAGTAAAACCCATCTCACTTACTCTTTCATGCCTTTGGTTGTCTGTGCATAAGAGAAAGGGGAGTGATTCTGGGAAGGATGGGTGGTTCTTCATTAAGGTAGCAGAAAAGAAGGATCATGACCTACATTTATAGATTTGTGTGCCCAGTCTTATCTTTTTAATGAACCTGGGTTGGAATGGGTAGTCTAGGATTTTAAGTGATGAGCATTCTTCTAAAATCCAAGCTCATTAGGGAGTAAACAGAATCTCTGGGTTCAGGAGTGCTGTAGGAGACAATGGACAAACGTAATTCAGGATTACTTGCAGAGGTTCCATCTGATTGAGAGGTGGTCAAGAACATATACTAGATCCAGTAAGACTACTATAGAAGTATTGTTCTAGAAAGTCTTCCATCCTGGAGCAAAGTCATATTAGTTTTAGTTTTGAGTTGTTTGTTTTTACATTGGCACTTCTCAGTTGGTGAAGCAATATGCTTTCCCTTAACTACACTTCTTGCATATAATTTGCTTTCTTCCTGTGTTTGATCATCAGACCAATGCTTAATGGTCAGCTGTAGGATTCTGGAAGAAGTCTTTCTTATTAAAAATAAATCCTATGCATGTGGTGCCCTTTACGTACAAGGTGTCTTTTCCTGCAGCCAGGCAGTTCTGAACATGAGTAGACTTGTCTGCCCCTTTGTGTGTCATCACTTTCAGGAGGTCATTCCACCTGTGTCTCAGAACTGGTCCTCTCTTCCTTCCAGAAGTAAGGGAAACTTCCAGTAGCACTCTTATCTACTATCGAAGAAGTCAGTCTTCTGCTGGGCCATTGGCCTAGGGGGTTCCCGGGTGCTGCCATTTATTTATCATTTATTTATTTTAAACATTTATAGTCAGCCCTTCTCACCCCGAAGGAGACTCAGGGCGGAGCACAACATTTATTGGGTAACCCAGACTCTACTGGACTGCATGACAGCCACTCTAGGTGAACTCAGAGCTGCACTCCCCTTACGCCTAATCATTCTATGCCAAGCATGGCCAAACCTTGGCCCTTTAGGTGTTTTGGACCTCAGTTTCCACAGTTCCTAACAGCTGGTAAACTGGTTGGGATTTCTGGGAGTTGAAACCCAATACACCCAGAGGGCCGAATTTTGCCCATGCTTGCTCTGTGCCCTCATTAGTGGGGATTTCAACAGTTCTGTTAACATTTTGGAGCAACTAACAGGGGTCGAGGGAATTATGTCATAAGGTTCCTTTAAAAACAAGGACCCTGAAAGTCCCATTGTACTTGCCGGTTGACTGGTCACATTAATCCATGGTATTAAATCGACTTTTTATTTGACCCATAGGCCAGTTAAGATGTTGTAGATCTCACTCGACCTGTGTAATTTCCTAGTAAATGTCAACAATATAAAAATAATACTTGAACTTCTAAGCTAACAGCTAAATAAATGTTTAGGGCAGATGATACTAACCGTTGTATTATAGATTGCAATCCTAGAGGATTATTATAGGAGTGATATTGCCATGTTAATATTTAGTATTAGTCCACTATTTCCTCTTGTGTCATACAGTCTTTCTGCTGAAGATGTTTCCACTACTAATCATCTCTACATCTACTTTCTCTTGCTGTGTGTGTGTTCTAAATCCCAGACTGATATTATTAGCAAACTAACAGTAAGTGTCCAACAGTTGTTCCATGTTTGTTCCATCATGTTCTGGGCTGTTGTTGGCTATAACTTGACTACAAACATAACTAGATTTTTATATTATATAACCGCCTTAAAAGGCTTGGAAATTGGGAGTATTCTTTGACCAAAACTCGAGCTTCTTCCTTCTCTCAAAGCCAGAGGTTTCTGATGAGATAGGAAGGCTGTTAAGGCAGTTTCATGCCTGTTGATATGGCTCTTGTATCTACCTAGAAACTCTTGATTAAAAATCATACTGCACAACAATGGATAGAAAAATCTTAAGTGTTTCTGATAACAGCTCCCATAATTCACATTGACAGGAGAAT